TTTTTTTCCAGTGAAATTTGTTGAAAAAGTAGAGAATTTAATTTTATTCTGTTGAGATTTTTATGTAAAGAAAAGAAAACTCAATTTTGTTGAGGTTTTTTTTTTTCACGTGCTCCTATTTTTTAGGAGAATATTTGATAACTATTTATTTGGGATGTATTTTTACTTCCCGATGAATGAGTTATTAAAATACAACTCTATTTTAATAACACCATTGGAGGAGAGAGTTTTTAAATTTGGGGAGTCAAATGGAGGTTAAGGAGTTTGATAACCCATTTAATAACCCCGTTGGAGTTGCTCTAAGCACTCAAAACGATAAAAGTCAAAACTACGGAAAAACTAGGTATGTTTTTTACGTGAGGAATAACAAAGGAAATACTTTGGCTCTACAACATGGCCCGTTAAAAATATGTAAACAATTTATTTATTGTAGATATTTTTAGAAAAAGTCGGAATTTTCGAAATTAATTTTTGAAATTAAATCGGATCGAAAATTGGAAAATCCAAATATGTTTTATATAATTCCAATTCCAATTTTAATAAAAAAAAATCGGAAAATATCGCCTTTCAGAAATTTTGAAATCGGAATGAAAGAAGTTGTTCCAAAATCGAAAATATATTTTTGAATACAGTCACAGTCTATGCAAAAGAAAAAGGGTTAAATTTCTTATTTTCATAACCATTAAAAAATGTATGTAATTACCATTCTAATTTTATAAATTTGTTTCATTTTAAGATTTTAGTTAGTTGCATTGACCCGTAAGTGTTTAATTTCGTTTTCAGCAAGAAAATTATTAGGAACCACAAAGGCAAATATTTTGTTTGCTTCTTATAGTGTACCACTTTGTTTATTTTTCTTCATTCAATATACCAAAGTCTTCTAATCCATATAACAGAATCACCATCTTGAACAGAGACTTTCTAAAACATGCCTTTCAATTTTTTTATTAGGCCACGAAATTATCTAAATTGCACTGAATTAAAAAAAATATAGAAAATATAAATTATAAATAAACCCTGTAAGTATGTCTAAATTACAAAAACTCCCTTTTGTTAATTGAATTATATTATTTACGTGCCCATCAGAATATCCGTATAGTTCAAGTTCAAACATTTTAATGGGAATCATGAAATATCTAAATTGTCTTTACAAATTCAATTTAAACTTAATATAGTAGGTAAATGGCAAATAAGACCATGACAAGAGCACTTAATATTAGTATTAGTATTAGTATTATTATTACTATTATTATTAGTATTAGTATTATATTAGTATTAGCTGTCAGTATCGGTATTAGTACTATTATTAGTTTAGTATTTGTATTTGTATTAGTACATCGGTATTAGTACTATTATTAGTTTAGTATTTGTATTTGTATTAGTACCAGTGTTAGTGTAAGTGTTAGTGCTCGTGTTAGTGTTAGTGTTAGTATTAATATTAATATTAGTATAAGTATAATTAGTATTAGTATTAGTTTAGTAATATATGGTATTCTTCCTTTTGTGTTCAACAGATCGTTCTATCGTGGTAGTGGCGTATTCGTCTGATCTCTTTTGAAATTTTACAAGTAGTATTGTTATTTCAGTATTGTACATCACTGATTGGACGCCGTTAATGACAAACTTGCAGGTTATTTGAATAGCAATTACGTGACTTCCCTACTACCGTGTTTGTTGTTAAATCAGTAATTTTGCATAATATTTAGATGGTGCGGTACATTGTATTCCATGAAATGAATGTATCATATGTTTAAATGATTTCGTTTAATTTTCATATCGAATTTTGCTCTTCGCGTTTCTTCTTTTTAATATTTAATTGCATTTCATATGTCATAACTCTGGATTAAAAGATAAAGTTTATCTTTCTTTGATTTCCTTTCATTTTATTTTACTTGAATTAGATTTGTTACAAAGAGATAGTCACTTACATAATATTATTTTCTCATTTACAAACTGACCTCCGTGCAACACACGAATTAAGTGCTAGTTAGTATTAAATTAAAGTTTCAAAGTGTTATGAATAATTTTGGTATATATGAAAGAGTTATCTTTACTCTTTAATTTACTCTTTAGTAGCAAACAAGTGTTGGATGAAAGATATATTTTCAAGACAAAAAGCTAAATTTTTTTTTTTAATTAAGTGGTGTTTTGTCATTTACTTTTTTACAATTTGCCAATTATTAATCATGAAATATATACACAGGTTTCTTCCTCCAAAGTTCCAAACTAATAATGATAATTTCAAGATTCAAGTAATAAGCGAATAAGGCAATAAATAAAAATGAACTAATTTTAGTTGTAATTATATAAAATAGGATCTTACAAAAAAGTGAAAAATATAACCTTGTATTCGAAAACATTTATTTCAATTTAACAATGGACTAAATCAAGCTATCTTGATATGATATTCACTATAATAATTTTCTTCCATATATAGAAAATACAACTTTTTATTTGGCAACATGCATGTACAAATAATTTTGACAAATAGAAATTATATAAATGTTTCTCACTTCCACAAATATCTAACACCCACCGCCACCGCCACCTCCACCGCCACCGCCGCCACCTCCGCCTCCACCACACCCACCACCACCACCGTGATGACCACCACCACCACCGCCATGGCGTTTCCTCCGGGGATTGTCGGAGCCGTCATCAACGCAAGCAAATATGAGAAAAGACATTATTGAAATGGACAAAACAAACATGCCAACCATTAACATAAACCCTGACCCCTCAAACATAAAACCTCCCTCACTTGCCCCATAATTACCAATATTGCCTAAAACTCTAGTCATCTTATTTATATTATATTACGGACAGAATATATATCTATTTTGAGAGGATATGAAAATATGTGCACCAAGGTGTATGTATATATAGACACACATAATAGAGTTGAATGCGTATTATAATTGTTTTGTTTTTGATAACTTCCATTGACCATAAGTTATATGATTATTGATGCCTGGAAATTTCTGTGTACATTCTTTTTTTAATTTTTTGATAGTTAGACCTACTTTTTAGTTGATATATGGAGATAATAATCTTGATAAATAAATAGTTACACTAATTAGCCGGTTGAAATTTAAGTACTTAGAAGATGAGATCGTAGAGAGTACAAAGATAGTTAATTAGTAATTACTATGTAGCACTGACACGGAATTGGCGATAAGGTGAAACAGTCAAACGGACACTAGAAAACGGCTTGCCCCAGAAATGTGGAAACGTATAAATAATAAAAGTATAAGGGTATATTTATAAATATTCTATGTAAAAATATATAAGTTTTTATTTATATGTAAATTCCTTTTATATATTTCAATACAAATATATCTAAATTAAATATTATTATAAAGTATCAACTATCATTTGCAATTGATCATTAAATCATGTAATTAATTAGAGAAACAACAAAATATATTTGGAAGTTTGATATTCATACATGTTTCTAAACTTTTTAGAAAATTGTAAGATGGTCCATAAATTGTCCGACAGGTGTCCTCGAGTATCGGACACGAAACGTGTCCGAAACACGAAAACATTAAGAAGTTGAAGTTCCCATGCAACATAGCTAATTTATGTACCCACAAAAAGTATTACTAATTATCTTCTATTTACGTACTTAATTTTGAGAGTAAGAAGCGATTTTTTTTTATGATAATCAAAGGGAAAAATGAAAAATATATTACATTTTGCGAGGATTAAAAAGCAATCAAAAGAGAAAATTATAACTCATGCTTCATAAATTCTGAAATGATCAATACAACGATTTTTAGTAAACGCGTGAGATTTTTACAATTTTAACTTATATTCCCAGCCAACCCATCGTTTATTATAGAGTAAATTACGGCCATCTCTTAAGGTAGGATGTTTTACGAATAAACCCTTCATGTTTGGATAGTTACAATCACCCTCCTCAATTATAAATTTTCTTACACGTCAACTCTTATGATGTCAAATTTAGTGGAATTTTTTAAATTATGTGGAATATTCCCCAGTTTGTAGTTTGTACTCGTTTTATCACATTCGAACTCCATATTTTGAAACAAGATTATCATAAGATATGTCTTTTGACTTGTAAATATCATATTGTGGTGCATCACATACTGCATTTTTGGACAAAATAACTCAATCTAGATTGACTTCCAAATTTTTTGCTCCATTAACTAAACCACTCTTGCGTGTCTTGACCCGGATTTTGATACCGGTCTTGACCCGTGAAGTTGTCAGTCAAAACAATGTAACGCTTAAAGTAGCATTTTGTTTGCTTCTAGTGTACTGCAGTTAAACCTCTTTAAATTAATGCACTGAAATCAACAAAATTCTATTAATTTAGCGAAATATCAAATTATTGAATTAATAATCTAATACATTTTCACAGAGCTTGGACCCAAAAAAAAATATTATTTAAATAAAGTTATTAAATTTTAGGTTGTACTTTGTTAATTTTTTTTATGGACAACAACAAGTCTTCTCATCGTGTCAAAAATGACACTCATAATAAAGACGTGTTGAATATTCAACTATTACATTGCATCTTCCTAGAAATTTGTGTAACTTCAAAAACTGATTGATATAGTATTTTCTTATTTAGAAGTTTCAATTCTACAATCTAAATATATTTGTGATTAATATCACATAATCATCGAGAATAAAATTATGTTTAGTCAATACAATCTTATCAATCACATCATTGCAACCACTATCATTCTTGTCAAATTAATTTAATCTTACATGAGTTTATGAGGTGAGTTATTTATTTATTTATTTATATAGGGTAAAAAAGAATTTTTATTAGGTATAAATTGCAAAATTAGAAGAAAAGCTAGCACCTTCATTACATTAAGGTTTGCGAGCAGTTGCTAACAAATGAGTTAAATTGTTACGATAAGGCTTAACAAAGGAAAAGGAGCAACTTTGTAAGGACCTGGTTACAAATATAAACAATCCTCGGGATTCGAATTTTGTTTTAAAAAAAAACAAAAAGAATAATAAGATAATAAAAAATAAGCTCCAAAAGTCCCTTGTAAGAGCTTCAATAACTTGTAAACAAATACCTTATATAGATCAGTTCGATTCGCTTTTAACGGTATAACTAATAACAAAATTTCTATAGCATTCAGCCCATCTTCCTCAAACTAAAGGGCATTATCGAAATTTAAAACAAAAAATGATTAAAAATACGCAGAATGCAGACCTATATTGTAATGATTTCAAGGCTCCGGAATGGAGAATCCATCCCCACGAAAATATTCTTCAGGCAGCAATACTTACTTTTTATATACACCTCGTTTCTGTTGTTGGATGTGAATTAAGTACGTGTTCTATGGATGGTCTTCCAGTTTGTCCTCTGCATGCACACCAAATTTATAGTGCGTTACTAAACACAATTAATAAATAAACTGGTTTTGTCGATGTTTGAGTTTGTATCTATTATGACTGGCTGTGTGTAGAACCACGTACTTAAAAATATTTCACCCCGTGTAACTTCCATATTGTTAAGAATAATACATAAGGGCTGCTGATTTTTAAATTGAATTGAATTGAATTTAAAAAAGAGTGTATAGAGAGTGACTTACGGACAGATTCGGGGTCTAAATGTACGAAGAAACTTGCGGCTACTATAAGATAGCATAGAAGAAGCATCAGTCCTTTGAAGTAATTTGATGTTCCCTCCTGCATTTCAAAATATATTTAACTAATCAAGAACCAAACATTTCCGATAAATATAAATAATATTAAAAAAAAATTATTACTTTGTCGGAAACAAATCAGAAATGTCACCTGCAGCATGAAGGTTACTACGAGAACTGTCATAATAAGAGTAGCTGTCTCAAATAGTTGAAAATTCAAGTCCATTGGGCGTCCCGTTATCCAGCCCACAACCACAGTGAACGGAATCTATAGTTACCAAGCAGCAGAACAAGTCGTTTTTTTATATTTAAACACAACTAAATATATAAACAAGCAAAACAAATATGCCAAGATTTGATTTTTTTATGTATTCAATACATACCAGAAACATTGCTATTTGTGTTGACGAGCCTATTGCAACTCCGAGCGAGATGTCCTGCTCATGTGCCAGCGAAAATTGATAAATTTAATTTCGCAAAACAAAAAAAAATGATATTTAGAGAAATTGCAAACACTTACAAGCTTGTCTTTCACGGCAAACATAACAGCACCAGCATGCTCCGCTGCATTCCCGACAATCGGGAGCAGAATAACACTTATAAATGCTATCGGAATGTTCATTGCAACAGATGCCCCCTGAAAACATTACCATCCTTTTTTCCATAAGAATATATATTACGTTAACCATGGTTCGATTATGGAACTAATGGCAGTAAAATTACATAGACACACTTCCTTTCCCAGTTGAAGCTCAACACATGTAACAAATTCAAGAAACGATATACGTATGATAAATAAAAATAAATAAATAAATAATTCCATTGATAATTGATAGAGCAGCAGATACCTACCTCAATGGCATTAACCAAATATTCAGACAAGACGGATATCAAAGAAGTGAGTACAAGTAACCACATGATTGATTCCCACTTGGACAAGTCTGGCTCTTCATCGTCGTCTGAGCTTCCGTCAGCTTGACTCCCTTCCTACATTTATTTATATCCTCAAAAACAAATTAAAAACTAACCACCAAAAATATAATCAAAGACGAATATATATTATATACCTGATTTATAGGAGCATAGAGATGCTTATGGCTGGTGAGCTGGAAGAAAATGTACGCGACGTATGCTACGAGCATAACGCAACTGCTAAACCTTGAAAGTGCCAGCTCAGACTTGCCAAAATGCAACTCGGTGTGCGTAAAGTGGAGAACCGTCGGAAACAAGAGGCCCATCACTGCCATCAAGAGCAGTCCAGAATCCATTGCTGCAGATGACTATCAAAAATCATCGGAATTGTGAATATTACTTATTTTTGGGTAACCGTAATTTAAAATGTATTACGATTAGCTTAAAATCTCGACATGGTTGTTTTCGTTTTTTAGATTTTTTACAAACCTTGTTGAACACTTGTTCTCTTTTAAAATGGACGATTCCTCCTCCAAGAAGTGCACATCCAAGCACCAACAACATATTAGAAAGAATTGATCCGAGTAATGATTGCTGAACAACACGTATCATACCGCTTTTCATTGCGCGCATAGATATTATCAACTCTGTCGCGTTACCAAACGTAGCGTTTAAAAGACCCCCAACTGAAAAGAAAAAAAATTCAAAAGGAAAAGGTCATTTTAAATTACCAAATCATGATCAATGAAAGCACGCATCCAAATAAGTAGTTTTCTTAGCTCGTCTTGCTTCGAAGAAAATCTCAAAAGTTACTGCCATGTATGATGTTTAAAATACGTAATACTAGGACGAATAAATGTTACGGATACAGGTAATTCACATCAGAAATGAATAAACATTGTCAATCCAAATAAACTATGATATCCCAGAGACAATCGTAGAAAAAATATAAATCTTGGAAAGCCTGTGATTATATGAAAGAAAATAATTAAACTGAACTGTGATGTCTTATTTATGACAAAAAAAAAATGATATACAACATTTGAATATGAGAAATTTCCGAGAGTCAAAAAAAATTGTTAGAATCCTATGTTACATAATGAACAAACTTTAAGATTTCGGATATCTACTAAATAATGATGATGATGATGTACCTTCTTATCTGATTTGTCCAAAATTTTGAAAACGTTATTATTTCTTACAGTCAGATAAAAGGACACATATAAGATGTGGTGGTGAATCTGAAATAAGAGAAGCAGCTAACTTTTATTAAGATTCAACAATGTAAAAGGATTGCCTCTCGTTGTTTCCAATAAACAGTTTAATAACTAGCATCAGCCAAAAGCATTTTTCAAACAAAAAGAAAGAAAAATGTTTACACATAAGGGCATGGTTTTTTAGTCTGGAGATAGTCATGGCTTAATACTTAAAATGCAAATAAATTAATCATCGGTAACATATATGCAAAGATACAACTATTGACAAATAAACAACACAAATTCTGGGGATTTCGTATTCGTAAATAGATAAAGGAAGCAAAGCCAACCTGTAGGTCCTGTAAAGAAAGCGAGCTGCCTACATAATTAAAAAAGAAAGAAACAATCAAAATCATATTAAACTTGAAAAATCCTCGTATGCATGATAGGCAATAAAAGATGAGATGTAAAAAGCATACTCTGTAGCCCAGCCCAAACGTTCAGCCAATGGAATGATGCCAAGTAAACTTAAAAAGAAGACCCAGCCCTGAAATTATTTCAAAGATACTTTAGTTCAAATACAATAAAAACCGAACATAAAGGGGCTGTGTTCAGAACAAACTCGTTACTCACGTGATGATTTGTGAGCTTATCAACTACTATCGCCAACGGACCACAAGGTAGAAGCAAGTTTAATTTGTTCGAAAACAGAGCAATCTTTATACTGCGAAATATGCTGCTTAGTATACATTTACATCCAAAGTTTTGTAACCCGGCACCAGATATAGGTCTCGGATGAGACGTCTCTAACGAAGATATTTTTCGATCGATTGGTTGAGGACTAACGAGGCGCATCTCTTCAATCTCAAGTGTCGTTTTTTCTGCTAATGATCCCATCTGTTGAACAAGTCATTACATTTTATTCCAGAAAATAGCAAATATAGACTCTTGAACTATTAAAAAAATTAAATAAAAAAAAAATAATAATAAAAAATAAAAAAAACCGAAACATGAAGGCAGAAGTTTCAGCTATAATATATTCAAGAATGTTCATGTCATAACTTGATTATCACTACTGTTTTCTAATAGAATGATTGGGTTCAATTTCATTTTACGCAAGTATTCAACTACATTAGTTAGAATCTCAATAACCAAAGTTAGTCTTAGTGTACCCGTGAATCAGAAAGGCACTCGGCGGCCCCGAATCATATTTATGAATAAAAACTAAGCATTGTAATTCAAACTCATTCATTCCGATTTGAGACAAATAACTTGAGGAAATGTACACGTAAAACAAAACCGACTGTATAGTTGTCCTCCCTGATAAGTTTGCACTATCTATAAGCTAAAAAATTGAGTGACCTACATACACTAAGAGAGCCCACGGGTACAAAATAAAAGGGCAAATTACGTTCACCCTTGAGGTAAGGTCAAATTACGAAGAAATCCCTCATGTTTGGGTAATTACAACCACCCCGCTCAACTATGAATCTTCTTACTCGTCGACCCTAATGGTTGTCAAATTCAACACAATATTCTAGATTATGTGGAATGTTCTCTAGTTTGTACTTGTTGTGTGCAAAATTGCAGTTTCAGATGCAACACAATTTGATATTTACAAGCCAAGAGACACAATTTATAATAATATTGTTTCTGAATGTTGAGCTGGAATGGGGTAAAACGGGTACAAACTGGAGAATATTCCACATAATCTAGAAGATTCTACTAAATTTGACATTTGACAACGTAAGAGTATATGTGTAAGAAGAAGAAGATTCATAGTTGAAGAGTGTCTGTAATTAGAATTACAATAGAAGGATTTTTTCGTAATTTAACCTTACCCTCACGGGGTGGCCGTAACTTGCACAAATAAAAATGAACATATCCATGGAAACCAACAGAGAAGAGAAGGGGAAGAAGAAGAAGTTACCTCAAGACGTGAATCGATGCCGATCATGTGCGAATCGCTACCGCCCATCTATTTCAACTGTTGTAGCAATTCCAGAATAACGAACAGCAATCCATTCTCAATCGAGGGCATCATAATCATTAAACCCTTGAACCACACCACAACAAAATCAAAATTGGGGCAAGGAAAAACACATGGTGAATGTTGTAAAATTGACAGATGAAACACTTACAATTGACGGATAAGAGTGTAATCAAGAGGAACGAGAAACACCCAATCAATTATATTGCCGAATGTATATAAAGAAGAGTGAGAAGAAAGCTGACTTTTTGTTGTGTCCCAGCCGCAAACTGAAAAAAAAACGCGGAGACTGTGTGGGAGAAGTCAACAAGTGGTGCAGGCGATGATAAGGGCACACATAGACATAGACGTAGTGATGTGCATGTTTGAAAATTGGGGTTTGATTCGGGAACACGGTACTTACTTATCATCCAGATTTCAGCCGCGCGCGCGTTTGGGTGTGTGTGTGTGTGTGTGTTTTAAGATTAATAATTGAGTTTATGTTTATTTCGGTTGAAAATTGCAATCATGGGAATAACTAGTTGGGGCGGACCCAGTAAGTAACAGACTGGGGCCCATAATCTAGTCCCTTGATAAAACAAAAAGAAATCCTTGGGCCGCCTGGGGATTAACCTATTGGTGAGTAAAGCTAATTTATTGGGTATTGACCCGGAACTGGCCAAATCCCTATTTTTGTGACACTGCTAATTTCTCATCACCAAAAAAGAAAAGAATCGATGAATCTGAAATCGGCGTCTGAGAGAATGAAACTTATCTGAGGGTTTAATTTGTGTCTTCAGGAGGTGGTGAGTGGGGTGGGGTGGGGGTTTGATATTTGACTTTTTCTTTTGTAGGAAGTTAGATATTTGACTTTTCCCGTCTATTATTTTGTCCAAGTATGGAGAGAGAGTGAGTGGGGGATGGGGGATGGGGTGGTCCTTAAGTATTATAAAAGAAGACATATACATATTGTAGAACCTCGATAAATTAATTATCTCGTTTAAATAATAAATTTTTCCGGTCTCGACTTGGGGACAACGTGCTAAATTAATAATTCGCTAAATTTATAAGATAATACACATTTGAAAATTTTAAGAAGCCCCATATAATATATAAATTAATAATGTATAAAAATAATTCATAAATTACATTTTACATTACATATTTTAGAGATCTATGAAGGCTCAATACAATATAATTTAAGGGTCCATTTGGATGGAGGGATTTGGGGAGGGATTTGATTTGGAGAATGGATTTGAAATGACTCCAATTTTGGAGTCATTTGAAATCCATCACTATTGCTCCAAAATCAACTAAAAAGGAGGGGTGGGGATTTGAAATCCATCTCCAAATCCATCAATCCAAACAAGTGCGAGGGATTTGTTATTATGGATTTGAAATCCCTCCCCCAAATCCCTCCATCCAAATGCACCCTAATTGTCGCTTGTTTCTTGTTGAAGTTCACATTACCATCAATCTCGTTAACTCAACATAAAATTGTTCTATACCATTGCTGCTTTAAGAGCTTTCGTTCGTGAAACAGGCTCTATAGTGCATTGAACTAATTGTACTATGAATAATATACACATAATTTAATATATATATATATATATATATATATTGAAAATAATAATACAAGTAATTTCATAAATTAATAAGTTATTAATTAATGTGTAAATTAATAATTATTAATTTATCGATAAGTTAATATTTCGCTAAATTAATGAAATTTTGATGGTCCCAACTGTATTAATTTATAGAGGTTTAACTGTATATGGGTCAATTTGATATATACCCCCGCACTGCCTAATAGGGATAAACTCAAGCAGAAATCATCCTTATGTGAATACTCTTTGGAGAGGTGAAAGTATTGTATTGTCCTTATATGCAATTTTCGTCCAAACTGCATTCAACATTTCTAATCATATATATAGTATTTATGGTCCTGCATTTAGTACATCCGTGGATTTGTTTATTTATTATTTGTTTTTTTATAAAAACATGTTTATTTATTTTGTTATCTTTTTTATTAATCTTTTTTTATATCCTTTTTCTAATTTTTTTTAATTGATATGTTACTGTACTGAAAATGACTACATATAACTATAGTAAATTATAGTCATTCGTATTCGTAGTAATGTTCTTTCTTTTTACCCCATTTTTTCGTCGACCAGTTATGTACACACACGAGTATCAACGTTTATACAAAAGGAAATCATAAACACCAACAACATAAATTCACAATTTAAATACTTATATTATAAATCAACTCATAACCAACAAATACAAGTCGAAATACACAATTAAATGCATATGTTACTACATCTTACTATATGTTTTTTTTTTTTTTGAGAACAAACTTGTTTTATTATGAGTTCATCTCATCAGAAATAATACTTTGTATCCAATCCGGTAATACAATCAACCTGTAAGACTCAATCTTAGATAATGCAGCAATTTACGTGCTAACTTGTTACCTTCTCTCATTGTGTGCTGCGCTTGAAACAACTCAAAAGAAGCTCCTATCCGCTTTATGTCGTCAATGATTGTTCCATACTCGGCCATGGACATAACATCTCCAATTACGTCAATAACTTCACTCAAGTCATCTTCTAGTATCATTCTCAGCCAATTGATGTCGTGTGCCATGTCTATCGCCAAGAGAGTTGCATTCGCTTCTGCAAAAGTGGGATCAAGTTGCTGCCAAACACACATAGTTCGCCACCCGACACACTCGCCTGAAGTCATCCTTGCAATTGCACCCAAACCACAAACGCCATCAAAAGTATTGACAGTAGTGTCCAAATTAACCTTCACTACACCGGCAACTGGGGGATTCCACCGCACATCTTCCCTATCTCTCCAGGTTTGGCTTCAAAACTTAGGTTGTGGTCTTGTGAAAAACCTCCCAAAATTTAGTGGTAAAGGAGATAATTTTTAGAGTATGTGACCAACAAGTCAACTTGTGGCTGTGGTCTTTCCATTTATCCATCAATAGTCATCATATCACTAATTCGAGAAAAAGAACTTTGAGACGATAACTGACTAATTAATGGGACATAGGATTCTTCATTTGCATCCAACCTACCAGTTTACAGGTTGAAAAAATAAGGGTTTATAATCATAGTCGAGTTTATTAAATAGTAATTAGAACAATTAAATATATTTACTTGTCCTTGTAGTCAACACTTTCTTCAAATCTGAATTGATCAATAAGTTTGACACATTTAGAGCATTCGATAAACCCATGTTTCCTAATTTTTATGTGAGTGTGAAATAATCAATAATATAATCTTACAAAGTAAAAAAAAAAAAAAATATGGCTGAATCTAGGGTTCAGGGTGGAAAAAAATACCTAAATAAGTGTTAGTCCCGAAAAATTAAAGGATGACCACAATAGGTCCATTGTGATCATCTTTGAGAAGATATGCATCCATTCTTTCGACAAAAGCTTCTCACAAAGTGTGTCTAATTGTATTTTTCCTGAAAATTAAGTAAATTGTTATCAATAACATTAAGAGATCATCACACAATGATCTATATTTTAAAATTGTAATCTTTTAAATACTCTAAATCTTGGACGACAATCTCCAAAAGCTTGCTTTTCTTGTCCTTGTCCTTTATATTGATCTCCTTTATAGGGTCTTTCTCAAACACGGGGCCAATTATATCTGCAACATTAAATAAATTAGCAAGTCAAACGAAAACACATCAATATTTAATGATATAATTAATATAAAATTAGTAGACTAATATGAGTAGTTACAGGCCGAACAGTAAGCTCTCATCCACGTTCTTTTTGATTGATTCCTATTAGGTTTCCACTACTTCCTTATCAAGAAAAGCCTATAAAAGCAACAAGTCTCTACACCATAAGCACGAAATTTTATACCACAAAACGCGAAGAACGAAGATCAACGAAGACTCAAGCATAGTTTTTCTTATTTATTTTATTTATCATAAGAATTACGAGTAGCTAAGCTTTTAATCTAGGATTTTGTTGGAACCCTATGTGGGGATGGTGAACCCGTTTTCTTGAGATTATGCAATTATGATTTTATGATTATTTCTTATACTTGTTATGATTGTTAGTGCATGAACTTGATCAATTTATGTGCTTTATCTGTGATTATTTGGATTGACTCGACAGAGCTATTTTGATAATTAGACGGTAAGTATAAGAACCTTCGAGTAGTTTTCACCGGATGAGCGTGTCAATTGCATGTGGTGTCGTAGACATACAAATATCGCCTTAGGTAGCCATTTACGAGACTTGTTAGTTAATGATTTATTCATAATTTGTTTGCATAGACATATAGTGAACCGTTTATGAATAATAGACTCATAATACACGCGACAGCGGGTTATGAGTAAATTAGTGTCTCGGGTTAATAATCATGAATCGTATATTTCATAATTGAGGGATTTTGGGTGAGCAATTCTTGCATAGGGGGAAGATAAAATCCTAGGTCCGTTTTTATTGATATTTTCTCGTGTTTATTTGCTTTCATAATTAGTTTAATTATTTAGTTGATTAAATTTGACAACTTTGCGTAGGCTGGATAAAAATCATAATTGTTAGAATTTGGTACTTAGGATTAGATAATTTGAGTGTTCCCTGTGGGATCGACATCCGACTCTCACGAGTCCACTTTTACTACTTGTTTGCGATACGTGCACTTGCGTGTCAGGTATTTAGCCCCAACACTACCAAATAAACTAGGGATGAACCCAAGCCAAAATCATCATTTGTTATACGTCTAGAAAGGCGAAAGTACTATACTATCCTTATATGCAATTTTCGGCTAAACTGCATTCAGTATTTCTGGTCCTGCATTTAGCATTTTCCCAGATTTATTTATTATTATTATTTCTCCTTTTTTTAATTAACCTGTTTGTTTAATTTCTATATATATTTTTTAATTTTTTTATTATTTTTTTTAATTTTTTTTAATTTTTTTGTCATTTTATTTTAATTATTTTTTTTTAAATCAATATATTTACTGAAAATAATTACACATAATTGTAGTAAACCATAGTATTGGTAGTTATATTTTTTTTTACTCTATATTTATAGTCAATCAATTATGTATACACACGAATACTGGCTTATACAAAAGATATCATAAACCCCAACAACAAAAATTTACAAATTTTAATATTTCTATTATAAATCACCTCAAAACTAATAAAATACGAACCGAAAATACACAAATATATGCATATGTAACTACATGTTACTATATGTAACTAGTAATATATAGTAATGTACATCAATGTATACATACTGTTGAACACTGTAACTTGAAGCAGATGTACCTTCAACCAAATTTTTGACACTTTCAAGGAGGGGAACAATAGCTCTCATTAAAGTGCAATTGCAAAATATATATATATATATATATATATATATATATATATATATATATATATATATATATATATATATATATATATTAGTGCAAATCAACAAAAGTTGAAGAAATATCAAAACACTCAAAAATCGTCAATGAATTTTAGACCAAACCACCAATGACTCCTCACCCCAATCGCCTCATACCAAAGCCCTAGCCGTCGTTAACCAGCCAAGGTTCCACGTTCACAAATGAAAAAATTATAGAAATAAATCTGACAATAAAAAAATAAACGAACTTACCATCGGCGGGTAGCCCATCAAATTTCGACTGCCGAAACACAAATTACACCTCCGGCAAGACCCACTGTCGTCGAAATACGCACCGACTAAAAAACAGTTGCGCATCTGAATGAAATCACGACCAAAAGAAATAGCTCGACGAGAGGAATCCAACGATAGTTAAACCATCGAATTCCGACCACCGGAGAGAGAGTTATAACTCCGGGAAACAACTTCGCAGGTTGGAGATCTACGAGGGCGGGATTTGAATCTGGGAGTTGAGAGAGGAAGAGAGAGACCACTGTGAATGACTAAGGTTTAAAACTGATTTTAAAGGATATTTTAGGTACTTCAGAGTGGGCTAAGGGTGTCTGTTAAATTAATTTCAAAATGAAGGGAGTATGTACAAGAATATTGTAATTAGCTTGGTGGTAGTTATATATAATCTTCATATGAGGGGTTCCTAAAATAATCACTCATAAGTTTTAATTTGGTGTTCAATAATGATAAACAATCTTTCATAAATGTATTCTTATTAAATGGTCGTTTTAAAATTATAAATAAATATAATAAAAAGATGAAAAAAATAGAAAGCCCTAGTCGAATATATCTGAACAAGTTCAACCTTGACCAAATTAATTGTCTAGATCGATGTGTGATCCGGTTTTAATAACATTGCGCGTATACATGTAATATAACATACATAAAATGTCAACACAGAACAAAACAAAACATAACATGTCAGATACTACATAAATGTCAACAAAGATTTCATTCCAGCTTAATGAAGATCTGGTAGAATGATCTCGATGTGATAGGGAATGGAAGGAAACACTTTCCACTAAATGATTGAATTGATGGATCTTGTCCTGTAATTAGTGAAAATATTTGATAAAAAACATTGGAAGAAAATATAAAAATTTTAAATAACTTGATAACAAACTAGTTGAAGGATTTTTATATATTTTTTTAAAACATTTTTTTGTGCATTTTTCTTAAAATATATTGATGAAATGTATTTTTGAATTTTGTAGTTTTAAAAGGATTGATGAATATAAAAAAATATTTGACATTTAACATACTAAAAAAACGCTACTAAAAATATTGAATTATCTTAACTAGCTTTAAAAATCTTATTCGGGATGCATTATGTATGTTTATTGTTTGCTGAGGAATCAAAGTGCTATTAACTGTGTTCGAGGGTGCAAAGTGTCAAACAACTATATTTCGAGGGTGCAAAATGGAATTAAAAAAAGCCGTAATAAAATACAAAAGCATGCTGTGATAATTAATGGCCTATTACTATTTTGCACCTTTGAAATATACAATTTTAGCACTTTGCACCCACAAAAAAAATTAATAGCACTTTGCACCTTCGAAACACAATATATCATGCATAATGCACCCCACATGAGTTTTTAAAGTAGTAAAGGTAATTTAATATTTTCAGTGACATTTAAAAATTATATTTTTTATCACAAAAAAATATTTTACGAAAAATAAAATCCTTCAGCTATTTCGTTATCAAATTATCTGAAAATCATATTTTCTTCCAAATATTTCTACCTAATATTTACACCAATTACAATAAAAGATCTATCAATCGAATAATTTCGTGATAAAAGTTTACTTGATTTTATTTTGTAAGAAAATATATTTTTTTTCAATTATTCAATGTGATTTTTATTTTCCGCACTTTGCACGCTCGAAATTAGGTTGACCGTTAGAGGTTGAAGAAAATAATAATTTAATTTGTTAGTTTGCAAACTGTTAAAAAAAAAAAGTAAAAACCAATAAAAAATGAATTATACTTTATTATTCAATTAAAAGTGCACTGCCAATAATTTATGTATTTTGAAAGTGCAAAGTGATTTATTGTTTTGAAGGATGCAAAGTGCCAAAAAAATACACTTAAGACTGCAAAATGTAAGCGGATAATAATATTAAATTTTCGGTAAACATCTCCCTTTTCTTTTTCGTTCTATCCCTTTTCAAACTTGCATTTTGCCAATTAACAAGTCCCCGCTAAATAGAAAGCCCTAATTACGATAATCGAAAAGGTTGTTCTATGAAATTCCCAAATTCTACCAGAGTCAGACGGCTTCTTATGCGCAGGTATTTCTTCCCACTTCTTTTTCCGAATTCGAACCTTTTCATTTCAAAATTCGACTCACCATCTAAATGTTTCATGTTAGAGCGCTTGCTTCTTTTTTTTTTTTTTTTTTTTTTTTTTCTTTTCGATAAATTGTTAGAGCGCTTGAATTCGCAACAATGGAGTCTTTTTATGCTTCGAAACATTGCGTTGTTATTTCATTAAGTTAACCAATTTTTGTTTTTTTCAAATTTTCTTAGTAGCAATTGGGGATATTGGCATGAATGGAAATGCAGCAACATAAAAAAAAAAAAACCCTGCTTTATTCGTTTTTTTGCAATTAATTTTCATGTAGAAAAAAGTTTCTAATTCGGCGATCTTTCGTGTAATATGCCATTATGCCATTTATGAGGACATTTGACAAAAGAACAAATACTTGAAAAAATTATTTATGGCTCTAAGCTTCTACTACTTCTGTGGTGTAGTTCTCCCCGATAATTATTTATCGATCAGTCATTGAAATTTGAAAAGGTTATTTGTCTCTAAGCTTGAACGACTTATGTGGTACTGTCTTCTCCGTCTAGCGGTTACAGACAAATTTATCTTACTATTTCTGTTATGATGGTTTTCTTGTTACTCTGATAAATGGTAACTACGCTTTTGCTGATTCTAATTTTTATTTACTGGTCACTGTTACAATTCACTTTTACTATTATCGAAAGATGTTTGCCTGGGAACTGAGATATATTTCTGTGCAGCTAAAGAATCAACTGATCACGAACCATTTTTCTTTATTTTTTTTTCGGGATGTTTGACAGATCTGAAGGTTATCGTGAAGTTGTGATGGGATAATATTGGAAGATCCGTGGTCTGTTGTGAGTAATCACAAATATTATATTTTTGTTATTGAAAAGTATTGAGATTGGAAAACCGAAGCGGGGAGGGGAGTAAAAGATACTTGGAACATGGATTGGTCGGAGAAAAATCTATGCATTAAGTGCAATAAAGCCGACAATCTGTTGATTTGCAGCGAAAATGGCTGTCCTTTAGCTATGCACGAAGCATGTATGGGTTGTCGAGCGAGGTTTGACGATGCGGGCGACTTCTATTGCCCCTACTGTTTATACAAGAAAGCTGTTGCAGAATTACGTCAAGCAAGGGAATATGCTCTCGAAAGAAAGAAAGCTTTATCGCTCTTTATGGATATAAATGTGGGAGCCAATGAAAGACGTTTGCAAGAAAATAAGGGAGATGAAGCTAATGGTCATCATCAATTAAAAGTTAGTGAACCAAATGTAAATAACGACGTATGTAATGACGAGGGGCACAAAAGCAACAACTTAGGAGAAGAAGAAGAAAAGATCGAGGAAGAGGATTCGGAAGGTTCTGAAAGATCCAGTGGTCAAGAACCTTCGATTAATTCGCGTGATGAACAAAATATCAGAAACGAAGATGGAAAAACGGCTAATGAAGAGGAGCATGAAGACCCTTCAGTTGAGATACACGAAGACAAAACCCGTAATTCGGAAGAAGAAAATATTCACGAGGAGAGATGTGAAACTTCCTCTGATTCGACTAGCAACGATTCCTCACAATCTCTGCGCGAGAGAACTAAGAGAAAGCTGAGATTCAAAAGAAGTAAAACAAAAATCAGGGAAACCAGAGCTGTTTCGGTGCAAAGTAAGCGTGTCAAAATGGTTGAAAACGATAAGCAGAGATCTCCAGCTTCGACTTCGTCAATGAGATCTTCTAGAATGTCGTCTTCTTCTGCTCCTAGAACCGAAAGAGTTGATCATGCTTCTAGAGGGTCGAAAAAAGGTCGACATTCTTCGGTCCAAATGTAAGTACTTGAAATAGTGGATAAACATTTAGCCTTTCAAATTCCTGTCATTTTTGTATTTTTTTTTACGGATAGGCATGAACATCCCTCTCTCTTGCAGAGCTAACGAGACGTTTAGTGGTAAGAAACGAAGGAGATTATTTTGGAGTGTGGAAGAGGTAGAGAAGCTGAAGGTAATTATTTTTTTGCGTTGCTGAATTGGTTATCAATCTCGTTTTTTTGTCATTTATATACAAGTTTTCGTTCATGGCCGTCTTTCTTGAAACCCATGTTTTTTTAATTATCATGCGAGTGGAACCAACTTATCCTTTTCTTATCCATATTGACTTAGACAAAATTATATTTTCAAGAGAAGCCTAAACACGAGATGAGTAGGTTGTTTTATGTGGTCTGGTTTGAGTTTAGTTATTTTCCCGAGGAAAGTTCTGGCTTTTTACGTTTTGTAAACACTGAATTAGTTCTACGTTTTTGGGTGCAGGAAGGAATAGAAAAATATTCAACCGAAATAAACAAAAATATTCCTTGGAGGAAAATCTTGATGTATGGTCACGGTGTGTTTGATGAAACTCGTACTCCGGGTGATCTTAGGGAGAAAGGGAGGAAATTGTTCACAAAGTAAGAGTTTTAACATTGTAACGATCGAGTTCCATTTGTTTTATTTTAGCCTTGGAAGTTAGATATGTAATTTAGTACTTCTCAATTTCTGCTATAACTGCTCTGTGTTTTGATGCTTTTTTTTAGTAGAAGTTTTTATCCTAGAAATCCCATAAATGAATCGGATTGAATCGATCACCCGATTGCTTGAGTTTATACAGTTTCGTAGATTGTGTAATTTACACCTAGAACTATAAATGAATCGGATTGAATCAATCACCCGATTGTTTGGGTTTATTCAGTTTCACAAATTGTGTTTGAGCTTAGTTTGTTCAAAGTAACATTGTTTGTATTCTAATAGAGTCTAATATTTCCATCACTTTAGCAATTAGAGTACAAACATTAATATATTTCATTAATACCCTTAACATATCTATTTTTTTTTTCAAATTACATATTGTCATAACAAATCCTAATTATTTAAAAATACAAGGTAAAATAATTAAAAGCTATCATCATAATTTAGGATAAGTTATTTTGAAAGATTGATTTGTTATATCATACATAGTTTGAAAAGAACCTTATAAAACTATTTATATAAATTATCTGTTTGGATTAAATTTATTTGGAAAAGATATTAAATAAAACTATTTGATAGTTGCATGGTAAACTTTTTAGTTGCAGCTAGAGTTCATAGTATTTTAACATCTTTCTTTTTTGTTTTTGGTCATCATTACGGTAATAAAAGAAGTTTATATTGTCAGAATTGAGAACAATTGAACAACTTATAAAATCTAAGAAAAGTAAAAAATTAAAATAGAATCTGCAAATTTATTTGAAACTTATAAATTTAGCCAAACGGCAGTCCGTGCCACCAAGAAAAAGTGGACAAAGTGTATTTAATGTCAACCGAAGAAATCGAAACCATCTACGAAATGAATGTTCATTATAAATTAAAGGGTTTTCATAACCAACTCTCATACTTAATTTTTATTCTAATTGAAGGGGTGTCTTTATTCATAGCCAACTCATCCAGGCTACGGAAACATGTACATCTAAATTATACTCGAAAATAACCTCAGTGTACTTGTGTCTCACTATCAGCCAAGAAATATCGAAAGCATAAACCCTAGGTAGCACTGAAAAAAGACATGTGATTTTTTTTAGATCACAATACCACTCGGAATTAAAGCATCTTTAATTACTGTGACAATACCGCTCTTGATAAAGTACCCCTCCGCTTCTCTTGCTGCTTCTTGAACATTGTCACTGTTTATAATCTGGAACATACACCGAAAACTTACTTATATTTGTCAATTTTTTAAAGTATAGTTGGGTTGAATAATTCAAATAAAGTAAAAGTAAAAAAACAATTACGAAACCTTCACGTTTTCGCCGATTCGGGCATTCTTGTCGATGATGGCTCTCTTGATGTGAGTGTTTTTACCTATGCCAATAGGCACGCTACCCTTTGCTGCCAGCAACCTTCTGTCAGCATCCGTCTAAAAAACAGAGTAAATTAATTGACAATTCATTATTTGCAAAAGGAATTGAAAACAGCCAAGTGAAAACTATATAGATTCAAGAAAAATGTGCTCGTACGAAGGTAGACAGGTTTGGAATCTTCTGTTTTTGATATATGTAAGGAGAATTACCTCGTAATAATCCGCACCCATCAACAAGGTGTCCTCTATGACTGCACCCTCTGATATGCACGATCTAAGTCCAACCACAGAATGGTGGATTTTACAGTTCTGCATGGAGGAGCACGACAGAGTTAATAGAATTTATCTTCATCATGTGAACGAAAGCAAGTTTACATGGTAGAAAAATTGGCAACTTATTTACTAAACGCATCATGAAATAAAAGTCGATGTCATGTTATTTAAAAAGTCTGAAATCAGTGGTTGTATGTATGTCATATTCCATTTTCTTGTTTCTTATGCATAAGTTAGCTAATGTTATTTCAGAATAAAAACCGAGCAGTTGGAGTAAGGAGCAGGGCTGTTAATAACTTTGTTCACTAACCTTGATCACGCAGCCCTCACCGATGACACTATCTGTGACATCAGCATCCAGCATCTTGGAAGGAGGCAGATATCGAGGTTGAGTATAGATTGGAGCTGATCGATCATAGAAGCTGCAAAACATAATTTAATCATTTCCAATTTTTTCGTAAATACGGCTACTGGTGTTCTGGTAAAACAAAACATTAAACAAAAACGTACAAAAAAAAAAAAAAGAAAGAAAGAAAGAAAAATCCTACCTAAAATCTGGCACTGGCTTCTTTGTGATCCCTAGATTGGCATTGTAGAAAGCTTCAATCGTACCAATATCTTCCCAGTAGCCTTCAAACAAGTAAGCTTGCACCTACACAAACAATATAACAATTACACCTACAAATTTAAATTATGAATATAATAAAGAAAATTAGTACTAGACTACATGTCAGAGTTACATACTCTTAGTCCCATAGCAGTGGCTCCAGGAATAACTTCACTTCCAAAATCATTGGCTGAAGGAAACTTATCCCTCAGAAGATTTATCATCACATCTTTGCTAACAACATATATTCCCATGCTTGCAATGTAAGGCATCTCCTTTGCTCTCTCATCATCAAGACCCAATATAGTAGTATCAACCTTAAGAACAGAACCAATACGAGAAGGAAAATAAATTAGATATTAATCTCATTGAGCAATTCTTAATACTCTCTACGTATTTACTATTTAACAAATCCACCTTCATTGATTTCAGCTTTTCTCCTTTTGGTTTCTCAGCAAATTCAACAATGCGCCCTTCTTCGTCAATCTTCATCAGCCCAAATGATTCAGCACGCTTTTCATCCATTGGCAAAGCAGCAACAGTAATATCAGCATCTGTTTCTCTATGGGCCTGAATAAACCTCTCATAGTCCATTCTGTACAAATGATCGCCAGCAAGAATCAAGAACTCGAGAATATTGTGCTCTTCAAACAACCATAAATACTGCCTTACAGCATCTGCTGTACCCTGACAAAAAGAACATGGTCAAACAAAAGAAGCTTTAGAACTTTTGCCAATTAGATGTAATACGTGAATGCGTGAATATAATATGCATTTGGTAAGGATATCTTTCAGATGTAAGCACTAAGAATGTTGGTAAAATAAAGTACCTGAAACCAATTGGGATTTTCCGGACTTTGCTGAGCCGCAAGAACCTCAACAAAACCTTCATTCTTGTAACCGCCCATGTTGCTAGCATACGCCCTTGAAAGGTGACGATTGAGCGATGCAGAATTGAATTGAGTGAGAACATATATCTTGGATATATTGCTGTTCAAGCAATTGCTCACAGGAATATCAATTAGCCGATAATTTGCTCCAAGAGGAACAGCTGGCTTTGCCCTCTTCTTTGTCAGCGGATAAAGTCGAGTACCAGCTCCACCTCCCAGAATAATTCCCAAGACACTCTGTACAAGGAGCAGAAAGACAATCATTAGCAGTCTCGCTTGATTATTTATATGCAAAAAATTAGTATAACTATATATTCCACTTTCCGAGGAACGTAACAAATGATAATTTTCTACTCAATTGTGTCGATTTTGATTGCACAAAAACAGTTTTTAGATTATGCTTTTTGAACAGGCAAAAAAGAATATGTGACACCCTTACAGACAAGATTAATGCTCAAACAAATCACGCACAGTTATTTGTCTGCAGAATCCCTTCTTTTCACATGAAACTATTATCTCAATAAATCACTAAAATGAAATTACTAACCTTTCTAATCAACTACATGCGATTTCTGTTTAATGTGTGGTCTAATATTGCAAATTCCAATCATAGTGATGTGATTGTTGATTTCAACCATACACCACCTACAGAGATGCAGTTACTGACGATTCACTATCTAAAAATAAACGAAATACAATAATCGGGAGATCATATTGCTATTTCTAAATTCTGCATCAAGATGCTTCGTTTTTCCTAATTTTTTGTTTATTCAATTTTCTTCTATAATGCCGCTAATGAAATGGCAGAGCAAACCGTCCGGCTCTACTTGGATTAGAGGAATAAAACGTACCATAAAGAAAAATAAACATGTTACCTCTTTACTAAAAGCAACTAATAGGTTCTTATTTAATAATTAAAAGCAAAGATTACAACAATAATAAAATCACACGTGCAACAAATCTCACTTCTTTTAAAACATGACATATTCTATATGTTTGTGGTATACCGAGAGAGAAAATGGTGGATCTGTTACAAATCTTAACGTAGCTTCGAATTAAAGCAAAAGTTATATACACTAATACACACATGATAGCTCTCTACTCAGATCTCCACAACCGCAACAAATTCCACACATAGTATAACGTGTATAGCCAGAATTTACCAATTTCGCAAAAAAAAAAAATTAAAAAATAAATAAATAAATAAATCAGTCGCATGCAGATGAAAACAATTTGAATAAATTCATAGATTCGCAGATGAGTGCTGCAAATATATACAGAAAGGCACACAGCGCAAAAAAAAATGTAGCCGGAGGCATTTTTCATTGAAAAAAACAAAATTGAGAAGGGGATAAAAGGTGATTTGATTAATTTACTCTGCTGGCGTCAGGATCAAGGCACGTTTGGGAATTCTGAGAGTCGGAAACCGCCTTCGGAGAAACAATCACCGGACTCCGTCTCTCCAATTCGTCTCCGGAACGACGCCGTCGAATCCGGAGTTGCCGCGGCGACGCCGCCGTGATGCTCTCGCCGGAGACGTTGGACGCCGCGAAAGACAGCCGCGTGAACGTCGTCGAATTGGAATCTTCCGCACTCTTGTAATTAGCGACGGCGGTTGCGCTGGGAGACAGCTTCATCACGGAGGTGGCTGCCATCGCCACTCAAAATTCTTCAGTTCTCAGGAGAGAGAAAGAGTGAGTGAGTGAGTGTGTGTGTGTGAGAGAGAGAGGAGAGAGAGAGAGAGAATGGGGGTTTGGAGGTTGAATGAGCTTATTATAGCTTAAGTGAAGGATTATTAAAGCTGATTCAGTGGGATATATAGTGTGAAAAAATGGGAGGTAAATAAATGTTATAAGAGGAAAGAGGGTTTTGACGCTAATTACTAGGTGGTTAGTTGGGGTTTGCATTTGCAACACTTGTTAATTTCTGTTTTTTTTTTTTTTTTTTTTTTTTAATTTGTTGAAATTAGTTGGATTAAATTATTATCTCTCAATTTCTCAAAAAAAAAAAGAAAAGAAAAAAAAAAAAGCAGTTTACTTGATTTTATTTTTGATAAAAAAAAAAAATTAATCTTATAAAGAAAATTAAAAACACATGCTAAACAAGAATGTATACTGATTAGATCGACATAAAGATATGCTTTCAATCTTGAATGATTTACCATTTTTGACGGTTTCACATTTCTTCCCTAGCTCAATTATTTAGCCCTTGATTAGAATTTTCAATTTTTGAATTTTATTGAAGGCGTGTGTACTAAATTAATACTCGATAAATTAATAATCTCGCTTAAATAATAGTTTCTTCTGGTTTCGACTCGATAAAAATCAACTAAATTAGTAGTTCGATAATTTAATATAAATTAATAAAATTTTGCTAGTCCTGGTTGTATTAATTTATAGAGGTTTAACTTGTATTATGTAGTAAGAGTAACTCCAATTCTAAATACCAAAATTGATTTATCAAATATTTATTTGATATTTGAGATAATATTTTAATATTGACTAAATTTCATCTACTCTAACCATGGTTATCAAATTAATTATTAATTGGAAGTTTATGGGTAATTTTATTTGTAATTGCCACATGTCCACTTTTGATTGAATGTTTAGATGGTTACACTTTTGATAACTCACTTTTCAGCAAGTATTTTTACGTCCAAAAAATTGAATTATCAAAATAGAACCCTAATTTGATAATCCCATTGGAGCTAAAAATTTCTATTTTTTGATATATAAATAGTGATTAATGGTTTGAATACCATGTTTGATAACCCATTGGATCTAATATCAAATATGTATCAACGGCTAGGAGGTATACTATTCAACTTTGACAATTCAATAACAATTGAATTAGGGTATTAAGATGATGAAAAAATTCATGGATTTGATTTCTAAGACGAGTTCCTTTTTTTTTTTTTTTTTTTTTAAGACAGGTTCTTTTCTTTTTAAACCCATAAAAAAATTTTAAATACTAAAGGTTCGTTCGGCTATGATGCACGAAAATTTCTACCCATATGTGTTTTCATATTCTGGAAATCGGAACTCTATGATACTTGTCGGAAATATTTTGGGGCAATTTCTAGAAATATTTATTAGTCTTGAAGACGTTTCCGGTAATAATGAAAAAATGAAAAATGCGTTTCCAAAAAAAATAAAAATTCAAAAGTCATTTTAAATAAAAAGTTTATTTGACGAAATAGTATGGGCTAAAACCAAGGTCAGCTGTTAAATGTTATTATTTCGTTAAATTAGCACTCCCGAGATTAATTTAATAGAGGGTGACTAAACATGTAAAATACCATTTCATCTTTCAAACTACATATTAATTTTATTAAATAAAAGATTTTATTGACAAATCACATATAATACAAAAAATTAACATTTTTTTTTCCAACAAATATAATTCTAGTTCCCAAACAATATAAGACCAAATTAATTTTAAGATTAAACAGATTTTTATGTTATTTTATATTTTTAAAATTAGCCACCGTGGAATGTAGTGGACAAATACACGTGAGGAAGGGCATATTGGGAAGTTGCATTTGTCGATTGTTTTTGGTAATTAGCTGAAAAAAATTGTGTTTTATTCTGTTGGACCTTTTCTAATGCAGCTCATTTCACAGATTTGAGGGGACAGTGTGAAATGTGATTACACTAAATAATCTATATATAACAACCACTCTTTTATATATATATCGGGTAATTTGCGTTCACCTCCCCTAAACTTTGGTCTTTTGGCAAGTACACCCCAAACATTTAATCTTTTGACATATACAGCTTCTCCATTTATTTTTCCATCTGGTCCGTTAATTTTAAGAGTAGAGTAGGAAAATTACAGATAAATAAATAAATTAAGAAAAAAGTTAACTTACAATATTAACATATGGACAATCTACAAAAGGTTTTTTTTTATAATTAATTTCTCAATCTTACATGTTCTAAAACTTCTTGTACATTAGTTTTCTATCTTTATGAATTATATATATCAATATTAAAAAATAATTAAGAGTAGAGGGCCACGATGGCATACATGGATCGAAAGACCTTCTGATGAAATTGTTTTTTTTTTTTGGTGATAAGTTCAGTTGTTAGTACTATAATTGTTTTTCTTATTATTGCATCTATAAAAAAAAAGGGTATGCCATATATGCAAATGTAATACTGATCGACTAAAAAAATATAATATTTATTAATTGAAATATAAAATTTGAATTGCGAATGTAAAAAAATAATAAAAATTAACCAAAAGTTAAATTGAATGAAAGGCCTGCATAATGCAAAACATAAAATAAAAGGTATTTAAATAATAATAATAATAATAATAATAGTAGAAATAATAATAAAAAAATTATTTAAGATGTACTTGCTAAAATACCTAAGTTAGAGGAGGTAAATGTAAATTACTATATTATATTCAAAGTGATGGCAAATGTGTATATTCAAAGTGACCACTAATGGAACAATGGATTGAGGGGGTGTATATGCCAAAAGTTCGGGGGAGGTTGATGCAAATTACCCCATTTATATACTGTGTAATGAAAATATATCTATTCTTTATGTTACCCAAGTTGTGAAAATTGAAAATTGGAATGAAATTACAAACACTTAATAGAAGAGGGGTGTTTTTGTAATTATCCAAACAAGATGGGTGTTTTTGTAATTTGGCCATACCTTAGGGGGTGTTTGTAATTTACCCTTAAAACAATTAATAGAAGAAGATCAAATTAAAGTATAGGGGTGTAAAAAATATGAAAACAGCGCCAAACGACATCCTTTTTTTTTTAATGGTGTACTCGATAAACTTTATTATGTAATATTTAATTGTATCATGTAAGGATGGAAATCGAACGGATCAAATCGATATAGCACTTTCAAGAAATTTTTTTTTTTCCGAAAGTGAAAAACTAATTCAATTTCGTCCAAAGAAGATTTTGACAATTGTAGTTATAAGAAGATTTTTTGGATCGATATAAGAAAAAATCGAATATTCTGTTGTAAACAATATATAATGTGGTTATTCCTAACTTAAGCCACTCAGAGTTTATAACTCCCTACTATGCCATTAGAGATTCAATTTACCCATTATCCCATAGTTCTCTCCATGATGTATGTAGGATATATAACTCCCATGTAACTTCCTGGTAAATTCTGGTGGTTTGCACCTATATAAATGAAAATCCCTCCTCCCCTAAGAGCAACTCCAATGGGAGTATCAAATAGATTATCAAATCAATAAACCACCTTTTTGATACCTCAAAATTAAAAATTTCTACTCTGATGGGGTATCAAAATGGGTAAATATTTTGATATTCTACCTTTTTGTTTGTAAAATTACATCCTGCTGATTGAGTTAGCAAAAATGTAACTACCTAAATATCCAATTACAAAACGATACATGCCAATTACAAATAAAACCACCAAAACACTTTCAATTAATAATAAATTTTGATAATTATGGTTGGAGTAGATGAAATGTAATGAATATTAAAATATTATCTTAATTATCAAATGAGTATTTGATATTTTAGTTTTGGTGTTTGGCATTAGAGTTGCTAGGTATTCCAAAATTATCTCTCTCCGAATGACTTTTTTTTTTTTTTTTTTTTTTATTTATGAAAATACCCTAAAAAATATGTATATATAGTTGCTTAGTTTTGGTCATTTTCACCAGATTTTTCGCTCTTTATAACCTTTTTTTCACCTTATTCAGTCATTTTTTTTTCTCGCTCTTTTCAGCTTTTTTGTCTTTTCTTTATGCATAAAAAAATTGAAAATTGGAATCAATAATAATGAAGCTTTGAAGATCATAAATGTAAAACCCACAAAAAAGAAAAAAAACTGAAAATCTCTTAAATCTAAAAAAAAAAGCCTAAATTGAAATTAAACCTTATGAAATAATTGCAAATTAAAAACAAAACTTATTATACTGGCACAATCCCCCAAAAAATAAAATTGAAAACCCCTAAAATCAAACACTAAAATCTATAAAAAGAATTCATAATTTAAATGAATGCTAAAAATCGTTAACAATCTACAAAAATAAACTTTAAAAAAATTAGGGATTAATCATACATAAAGCAGGGTAAAGAAGTCATTTCACGTTTAAATATAGCACCGTTAAAAGTTTGACCATTGACCGTAAAAAATAGGGGCACATTTGATATTTCCTATAATTCAGGGAGGTAAACGATACCTTTCGTATAGTACGGGAGTGCAAAATAAATTTGATCCTTGATTTTATAAGAGTAGTTTTCAAAAGAAATTGAAATTTTTGGAAATTCAAAATAATTAAATAAATGTTCCTAAATTGGAAACTTTTTAGATTGAAATCAAGGGAATCATAGGGGATGTTTGTTTTTATTTCCAAAATGGATTTCCAGTTTTATACTATTCATAAAACCGAGATCATGTTTGTTTGATAATTTTATCCAGAAAATCCCATTTTTCATTCTCAAATTTCTATTGAAAATTCACTATTCATACTTTTTTCAATTTTCAAACCTACTAAAACCTACTAACTAACATATATATTTTATTCCACCAACTCATTTCTCTCTCCACATTAATATCTACACTATCTCTCCTCCCAATTTCTCTTTCTTCTTCTTCTTCTAATTATAATAATAATAATAATAATAATAACAACAATAATAATAATAATAATAATAATAATAATAATAATAATAATAATAATAATAATAATAATAATAATAATAATAATAATAATAATAATAATAATAATCATAATAATAATAATAATAATAATAATAATAATAATAATAATAATATTATTATTATTATTATTATTATTATTATTATTATTATTATTATTATTATTATTATTATTATTATTATTATTAAAAATAATATTCATTGTAGACGTAGTAATAATAATAATAATAGTAATAGTAATAATAATACTAATAAATAATAAAATAATAATACTTATAATAATATAAGAATATAAACAATAATAATCATAATAATAAAAAATAAAAATAATAATAATAATAATAATAATAATAATAATAATAATAATAATAATAATAATAATAATAATAATAATAATAATAATAATAATAATAATAATAATAATAATAATAATCACTATCATCATCCTCAATCATTATATTCTACTTTTTCACGTACTTTCGTAGAGAAAATTCACCACAACCAAACATATTCTCATTTCTACACCTACATAAAACTAAAAATACCTATTCATCCAAACATATTCCCATTTTCTACACAAAAACCAATAAACTACTTTTTCCATCAGAAATTTTGAAAACTAGAAATTTCCATTGGAAACATAAACAAACATCCATATTCCATATAATCTCGAAAATTCCACTAAATTGGAAGTGTTGAGGGGTGTTTGTAATTATCCAAATAAGAGGGGTGTTTTTGTAATTTAACCATACCTCAGGGGTGTTTGTAATTTACCCTACATATCTATCTATCTACAAAATAAAATTCATACAAGAAAACAGAGTAGGAAAAGCAGAACAGAAGAAAGAGTTGAATATGTATCTCTATCCATTATTATCTATCACAAGATTATTTAAATAAATTGTATGAAATAACATTAATTAATATTAATATATGGTTCACGGTTATTTAAATAAATATGAAATAAAACACTATTTAAAGTAAATGTAATCACGTTTGGGGCCAGAAGTGAGATGAAAATGTGTCATAGGGGACACGTGAAAAAATCTGTAAAGGGTGCGTGATTTTGCACCGTTGCATATCAATCTCATTCGTGTATTATTATTGAGTGGAAAAAGACATATTTGCCCATAATTGATTGCACAAAAACCACCGCAACCACTGCGTTTGGTGACAAAATGACAAATCAACTCTGCACCAACTTCTCTGAATTTTAGGTTAATTATCGCTGTCACTCTCATTCATTTAGGTCCCGTTAGTTGCCATAATAAGATTAGCCAACATAAAATTAAATAATCTAATGAAATTTAATCTGCTTGCGACGTGCAAAAAAAAAATCACTAGAAGGCAAAATAAGCTATGATTATATAATTTTAACGGATCGACCCGGTAATTTATTGGGGATACGGGATACCAAACATCAAATTAAGTCCAACTATTTAATTAATCATGATTTATCTTGTCAAACCGGGCATTACTACCTTATTTCAAGACCAATATCACCAATTGAATTCTGAGTTCCGTTTATTTCGATCGTGATGGTAGATTATTTGCACCCTCACTACATCCTTCCAAATCAAACTCTTTTGATTGTAGGAAAATTCACCTAACGTCGATTTTTTTTGGTGGAGAAGACGAATTAGACTGACGAAAATGCAAATAAAAAGAAAAAACTTGAAAGACGGTATAGAAGTGTGTGTTATTGATATTAAATCATTGTGATTGTGTCCTCTAATAGGGTTGTGTACATTCATTATATAAGAGAATTGTGTAATTTTCTATTTTAGAATCTCTGTATTCGTCGAGATTAATATTAATTGCTCAATCACTTTGTCTAATTTACATATTTCCCTTATTTATTTAGTCTAATTTACATATTTCCCTTATTTATTTAGGGGAAATATCTTCGAATGCTCTTATTGCAATGACTCGCGAGCTTCTAAAGAAATATTTGTCTTTGACGCATATTGGGTCGGTGGGCCCGATAAATCTTGTTCAACTCATACATTATATGCTTATACTATTTAATAAGCCCATTAGAGGGAGTTTGACCCAAACTGACCTCATCATATTGGAATATTTTAACTTTGATTTTTTTCTTAAAACAATTGAATGAAATTATAAAATTCTTAATATTAGTGAAAAAATGAGGGTCTTTGGAAAAAAAAAATCATTATTAAAAAAATTTGGTACGCATCGAATTACTTTTTATTTTTTTTTTTTTTTTTTGAGAGTCATTACTTTTTATTTTCGATAAAACAAAGCTTCTCGGAAAATATTAATTTCGAAATCAAAAAATATTCCTACTTCTTTCATAGGCTTAAAGGAATGAAGAGTCAAAATTAAGAACTGATGGAGCAGTATACCATATGATATACATTGTTCCTATGCAAAATCTTATTGGAAATGTTCTAAAATAAAGTTAATAAGATTTCCATTTCTTAAAACAAAATATTAGTTTAAAAAAATAAATAAAAAATTGGTTTTTATTTTATAATCACATGATCTTATTTTGGGCATAGCACAAAATCTATTGACATCTTAAAAAAAAAAACTTATGAGTAGACACAATAGAAGCTCAGAGTAATTTACGAACAAGACAACATGATCAGCTTACGAGATCCTACACCTGGTGAATTACACCATGTGTTTTAAAACCGTAAATCTACATAAATAACTACACACTAAGCACAGATACACATGGGTGTGTATATTACTATGTATAGATCAATGGTGTAAAATTACATGGTGTGTTTTAGCAGGAGTAGGTTCTACAAAATCGTATATGACCGGACTTTCATGTGAAATCTTAGAATAATTAGAAGACTAGAGAGAATGTAAAAAAGTAATCAATATTTTTTGACCCATTACAATTTCTGGCTACATTCATTGACCACCATGTTAAATATCAAAACAAAAAAAAAAAAAAGTGACAAAGAAGAAAAGAATAAACAATCATATGTATATATAATAAAAAAAAAGGGGGAAATTGCAATGTTTTTGTTTTTATGTTTCCATTTTGCAGTATCAAATAAACCAGATTAATATGAGAATCAAATAAAATGAAATGAAGAGAGAGAGTCAGTTGCAGCAACCTCCTTGAGAAACAGAGCCACCTCTTCCTTCTGATGGTCCTTGTATTCCTCCATACCCAACTTTTATTCCATATGACTGTGTAAATATTTACCATTTTTCATTATTTTTTATACTATTCAATCAAACCAACTCAACAACAACACACACTGCAAATATAACCCGAGTCCCGTTTCATTTGGTAACGTAGTCCAAGTCTAAACATTAAGTAAGGACCTTATCCACTTATGCAATAAATAATTTACTTTATTTACGTAACGCCCAACCAACCATATAGTCCCATACATATGTTGTTCTAAGAATTTACTTTATTTACGCAATGCGGCTCTTTCTAATAATTTAAAACTAAATCGAATATATGCTCTTCTCTACAGATTTTTACTGAAAACAGTTCTAAGAATTTCAGTATAATTAGCGTAAATCATATCAAATCGAGCGTCTAACAAAAAATCAACTAAATTAGCTTTTATGTAACAACATACCTCATTAGACACGTCAAAAGCTCCATCCTGGATCTTCTTGTAGATTGTCGAGGCAGTCTTTATAAATGCCTGCCAAATAAACGAAACAAACGGGAGCATCACCACAACAGTTAACTCTCAGCAAGATGGGCACAAAGAAAAGAAACTCGGGTGGGTCAAATTGCAAGAGATTATTTATATTAGGGATTCGACGAATGAAGAGGTGAAGAGAAGTTTATAACCTCCTCGACATTTTGAGCAGTTTTGGCAGAGGCTTCCATGAATATTAAGCCGTTCTCCTTAGCAAACTGCTCCCCTTCCTCACTGCTTACAGCTCTTCTGTGAGCCAGATCGCACTTGTTTCCTATCAGCATTATCGTCATGTTGGCATTTGCGTGCTGCCTTGCATCTTCTAACCAACTCGCAAGGTGGTTAAACGTTTCCCTCCTGAACAAGTATAAATTATACTCGGTTAATTTCACTGGTAAGATAAAAGCAACGTCATATTATTTGGTACAAGCCATGGCAGATATTTGCGGTAATTTTAAGATATAAAATCATTTCAGTAACCGTGTGGATAAATGGGCTTCTATTTCTAATAAAAGCTAGTTTTGACTATTTGTGTACGGAGCAAAAATCAAGACAGATGTAACATGTTATATTCATATGTACATTATTCAAGTTATCTGAAAGTAATAACAAGGGCCATTAGTAATTCATCAAGAAAATGAAAATCCGTGTTTACAGACGAGGAGAGACTTACTTCACGAAATACAGCAAGTCCCAGGTTAATATTATCAAGAAGTTTAGAACATGCAGTCAGGAATTCAGATAAATTTTGTTTTTGCAAAAGGGACTAATAAGTTGTTCTGTACCGGCTCAATAATTCAATCGAAAACATGGAAACCGGAGCATCCGATTCCACCACGTATGCAATTTATAATATTCAAACACAAGAATACCTTGTGATGTCATAAACTAAAAGTGCACCCGCTGCACCTCTGTAGTAAGACCTCGTAATAGACCTGAATGATTCTTGACCAGCCTGACACGATAGAAGAATCACTAAAGATGTCATTTATGTTAAAATAATGCATTAATAAAATACTTTTTTATTGTAAAATGACGACAAGGAGAATTTTTTCGCATTGTGGAAGCTATTAGTTCTACATGATGACAACACTACGGTTTTTTAGATAAGTTTTTGACAAACCGTGTCCCAAATCTGCAACTTCATCGGTTTGTTGTCGATTGTGATCATTCTAGCACCAAATTCGACACCAATTGTCAAGTCATGAACTGGCTGAAATCGTTTGTCGGTGAACTGCAGAAGCAGGCATGACTTTCCTACACCTGCAAACGTACTCTAAATCTCATGAGTTCCTCTATTTAGCCATACATCCTCGAATTCAATACGATCGACCGATTCAATCTCTTGCATATACAGTAGTACCAACAACATAATACACGACTTGAAACCAAGTTAAATCAACACGAGTTGTTATTGCATCACAAAAATATCTAATTATCACAATATGCAAACAAAAGATATTTCTTACGCCGATCGTTAAACTATCGACCAAAAGGCAATATGCATAAAACTAAATCAGCTTCAGAACATCAAAATCACAACTTTTAAATGATTTAAAGCAAATACTAGTTAAACTACATGCTGTTTCCAATTAATAATTGCATAATTCTTGATCCAAATTGATACCCGGGTTTAAATACATCAGAAATAATACCCCTACACATGAAATAGCTATTGCTCCATCCAATTCAAATCATCCCCAATTTCTATATTCCAGATCAGAGGAAACCCAAATAAATAAAAAATAAAAACCTAGAACAAGCGATCACCATAATTTCGTGCAGGGAAAAACAACCAACAACAATAAAATAAAGAAAAAACAATTACCGGTATCTCCGATGATAATGTACTTGAAGAGGTAAGCATAAGACATGGTTTTTGTTGGGATCAATCACCAAAGTTTCGTTGCAAAAATATAATTCAGAAAAAAAAAGAGGGATCCGAAAAACAATTAATTAACGGTTGGGTTTTGGATGAATCGGCGCTTAACGTATGATGATTTGAGACGAAAGGCTTTCTTGTGTTCGTTGTTTTGCACTCTTTAGAGAGAGAAAGATATCGCAAATGTGAAGAAAGGCAAACAAATATAACGAGCTGTCGGTTTTGATTAGTTGACTCGAATGGAATCCTTAACCAACAAGTAATTTGAACTTCGAACTTTTTGTGAACCTGTTTAGCCGTGTTTTTATTTTTATTTTTATTTTTTTGGTTTTTTTTTTAATGTATGTATTTATTATCTAGTATATGAATAGAGCTCTGAACTTTCTATATAAGAGAATATTGAATTGCTATTGAAAACTCTAAAGAGAATTGCATTGTCAAATTCACATTACAAGCAGACGTATATATCCAAGAATTTGTATATGCATAATCATGCTATTAGAGGAAAAATACAAGGGTGATGTTTCCACGTATTTTTAATCTTTGATAATTTAGTCTATAAGAAATATTTGATGTATTATAATACTCTTTTTGGACTAAGTATTATCTATAGCGGCTACAATGTGGATGAATGAATATATGCCTTGTTAAAAATCTCAAGCTGGAAAATGCACTGGGACAAAGCCGGTTAGAAGGGAAAATAGTGCATAACTCAATCCACGCCGTGTGCATAGGCTGCATCGTTAAAAACCTTTGCTGGAAAACCCAATGGGACAAAACCAGTCAAAAGGGAAAAATAGTGCAGCGCAATATTGCTCCCCTGAAATGAGCAATGTAAACCTCCGGGGTGAGCTACCAATCCTTCTCCGGTTCTTCTCATTTAATGCGGTATGCCAATTTCTATTGGTAAGAGTGCATGGATGACATTTTGTGGTATATGCTTGTATGGTCGCCCTTTATTTATTTGACTCTTCCCTGCACTATGTAATCAACATTCAAATGACAGTGGACATGTCTGTTTGGTAAATCAACAAGATGTACCTACAACATTACAAAACATTGTTCACTATTATAATCATCGTAGACAATCTATTGAGAAATTGAGAATGTAAAAATATTATCGATGATTATCTCATTTATATCTCATATTTCTTTGAAATAACTTATGGGATTATCGGTATTCTCGTGATTTGATACCGCTTATTCAATATCAGGCTCAACAGATTATTCTGGAGCACACTCACTAGGAACCACTTGATTCGAGGATTCATTGATTTTTCCTTTTTTTTTCTAGGAACAACGTCCTTTGATCCAATAGGTCTACCCCGTTTCTGTCGTGGGGATCATCATTTATTTTCGCATGTTCTTCAGAAATAGCGATCCTAGCTGGAACATTCACAGATGGAATATAAAATTCCGTGACTTTACTGGCATCATTAAATGCATCAGGAAGTCTATTGGCAATATTCTATGGATCTCATTCACATTCAGAGGTACGTTGGTCAAGATGAGATAAATGTTGCTCACACCATGTGAGATTCTCGATTGGTTTATGTTTATCATTATCACGGATATTCTGAGTATCCTTACCAATCGGTGAATATCCGCAAATCTAGCAGTAAATAAATCACCTGTCATTGGTTCCAAGAACCTAATAATTGACGGTGAATTAAACCCAATGTATATGCCAAGCCGACGTTGGGGACCCATTTTAGTCCTCTGAGGAGGAGGAATTGACACTTGCACAGCGCAACCAAATGTGTTGGGAATCAGGCACGTGTACGCAGCGGAAAACAAAAGTTTTACATGAAATAAACGATTTAAATCATATAATCACATGCTCGATTCGTATTTAAGCAATTAATTACATACCTTTGCGCTTCCAGCGAAAATTAAAAAACAACAGTCATGCGTATTAATTCGATAATTAAAACACATAGCATGCTCGCAACGAAACGAAATAAACATGCGTATAATTTCATGAAAATGATCAAGTAAAACATACATATCAATTTCATGAAAAACATATTGCATGTAATTTAATCTAATTAAACAAATCGTATTAACTAACGGATCCGAAAGAATACCTCTTGAAGCGTGAGGCGAGCTAACGCATTGAAGCGAACTGCCACAGAAACCAATCCGTGCAGTCAGGAGGAGCAGCGGCAGTGCGGTGGCGGCGGATGCGCTCAACGACGGCGGCGCGTGGAGTCTACGCGCTGTCTTCGGGCGGCGTGTGGAGGCGCGTGCGGCGGTGGCTTGTATACTTAGATCTACTAAATACGTGGCACTAGACACGCAAAAGTTAGAATAGACGGAAGAAAAAGACGAAAAGAAAGAAATTACCGACGAACGGCGCGTGTGGCCGATTCCGACGACCGGCGGCGGTGGCGGCGGCGGCCGTGGGTGAGGATGGCCGAGGGTTGTGAGACCCGAGCGGCTAGGGTTTGTGTGTGTTCTTGAATGTGTGTGCAAGACCTATAAATCTTGTATTTATAGTGTCTTGTATTAAAGCCCTAACGGGCTTAAGTTGGACCGGACCCAACAGCTTAAGTTCGTAGTTCTTTACTCGCTCGTTTCTCACAACTCAATGATCGGAAAATTGTAATGATTACATTTTCGGAATCATTGTAACGTCCTCGTCATTACGAGTGCCAATTCTCGATTTCCGATTTCTAAAAGTGGAAACCCTAATTAGTGGACCTTCTAAATTTGGAAACTTCCCAATTTAGAAGGTTCACTAAGATGTTCGCATATTCTTTTCCTTTTCTTATTCTCATTCATAATTCCAAATTACGAATGTTGGACTCAATCATATTGACTTCCAATTATGCAAATATTAAACATTTTTATCTCTGACCATTTAATCAAAGATCTCGAGTGCACGAGCAGTGTGACCCTCGATGGTTCAGGTGTAAGCTAGCCGTGGGTCTACAACGCTTTGTGGTCTAAACTCGTCCCTTAGAGTTACGATTAAGATGAAGCTCGTGTCACATTAATCACCCAACGAATCAAGATTGACGTCTAGCAACTACGCGTCATGATTCCCTAGATACAAATGAAGTGCCTGCAAGAACCTTTTGATATAGTTAACGTACAGTACGATCCCTTCGATTCATATGTCCCGATCGAACTAGAGGCATTGGTTCATCGAGACCTCCTTAGTAGTTCAATAACTGTGCGATCGTTCTAAATGTTGTAATCGGTACGTGCATGACTTAGACAATCGTGTTAGAGTAGGTGACCAACAAGCCAACATGTGGCTGTGGTCTTTCGTATTTATTATTGTAATAAACGAACCTTTATTCGTATTAATGATAAAACACATTGGCATTCTATATCTTTGTCCCTTTGTCACAAGCATAGATATAGTCCTTACAGTTATTACAAGTACTAGTAATTGATCGTTAGGATCGTGAGATATTTACTCAAGTATTATAACTGTTAAACGTGTTCCTAGTCGAAGGGTTACGCCACTAATGAGGATATCGGCCTTTCCCATTAAGACTAGCACTTAGTGTATGTGTACTGCATCTCATCAGTAAACGGTATTGTGATATCGGCATGCATAAGTGGGTGCTCGCAAGTTGACGAGTTCACTGAACTCCCTCACCCTAGAAATCTCTAAGTGGTTCCCAATAATCGAGTAGAGATATCTATGGTATAGTTGTACACCATTAGTCCTTATGACCTAGACATCACCGTGACTTCACTAGAGGACCAGCTGTATCGTGACCTGTCCCTGAGTTCCACCGAGGACCATCCCAAGGGCCAGTGTTCGTGCAGTCCGAAATCTAGTGGGAGGTCTGTGCATTGTAGTCGGGGATTCGATCGCTAGAATAGTCTTGGATGTCCTGTGTGTTCTGAAAGTTTGTAATCATTCTAAGTCTCTGGCCAGAGCTGACTAAGTGATGATTAGAGAATTCGATTCTCTAAGTCATGCACGTAAGGATTACAACACTTAGAACGATCGCACCGTCATCGAACATATAAAGAGGTCTCGATGAACCAATGCCTCTAGTTCGATCGGGACATATGAATCGAAGGGACCGTACTGTACGTTAACTATATCTGAAGGTTCTTGCAGGCACTTCATTTGTATCTAGGGAATCATGACGCGTAGTTTCTATACGCCAATCTTGATTCGTTGGGTGATTAAGGTGAAACGAGCTTCATCTTAATCGTAACTCTAAGGGACGAGTTTTGACCACAAAGAGTTGTGGGCCCACGGCTAGCTTACACCTGAACCATCGAGGGTCACACTGCTCGTGCACATGAGATCTTTGAATAAACGGTCAGAGATAAAATAGTTTATCTTTGCATGATTGGAAGTCAATATGATTGGGTCCAACATTCGTAATTTGGAATTATGAATGAGAATAAGAAAAGGAAAAGAATAGGCGAAAGTATTAGTGAACTTTCTAAGTCGGGAAGTTTCCAAATTTAGAAAGTGCACTGAACTAGGGTTTCCACTTTTGGAAAGTTGGAAAATGAAAGAAGGCACTCGTAATGACGAGGAAATTATAATGATTCCGAAAATGTAATCGTTGCAATTTTTCGGTCATTGAATTAAGAGAGACGAGCAAGTAAAGATACTAACGGACTTAAGCTGTTGGGCCCGGTCCAACTTAAGCCCGCTAGGGTTTTATGCAAGGACTATAAATACATGATTTATAGGCCTTGCACAAATAGAAAATAACACAACCCTAACCCTAGCAGCCGTCCACCTCTCTCTCGGCCTCTCTCTCCCACAGCCAACGCCGCCGCCCACTCCGCCGTTTCGCCGGAATCGGCCGTTGATCGGCCGATTGGCTTGGTAGTCTTCTTTCCTTCTCTTTTCTTCCGTTTTTCTAACTATTACGTGTCTAGTGCCACGTGTTTAGTAGATCGAAGTATACGAGGTGAAATCCGAGAGGAGGAAGACTGTAGATCGAAGAATCGAGGAGCAACGCACGAGCCGAAGCCGCACGCTGCCCCACGCGCCGCCCCGGAAGTCCGCGCGTGAAACTCACGCGCCGCCGTGGCTTATTCACCGCCGCTGCTGCTGCACCGCTGCTGCCCCGATTGTACGGATTGATTTCCGTAGCAATCTCGACTTGCTAAAGGCTCCTACCTCACGCTTCAAGAGGTAAATACACGAAACCCTAGTTTCGGTTCGATTATGTTTAAACTATGATTTCATGTTTGTTTCGTATGATTTTATGTGATTATGT